AGATAGAGATAGAGATAGAGATAAATATTCAGCTTCTATTCTTGATGCTCTCTTAACTTAAGACATCACTAACTTTGGTAGTACATTCCTCAGAGATAGTTTAAAGTACCCAATTCTCTAAAAACAACAATTACATAAACACTGTATAGCTATTGAATGGCGCTAAGCACAAGCATTATTGTTGAAGTAGATTTTTCCCCCTCTTGAACTATAGGGTATAAAATGAAAACCCAGGTGACTTTTGAATTTCAGCATGCATTCTCAAAAAAAATGTGGAAATCTACATGGTATGTTATTAAAAATACATAAAAATGGGGTTGTTTGGAAGGATTAATGTTAAGGGGCAATATACTGTAGAATGATCTCACTAGTCCTGCTGACAAGACTGGTCATTATGAATTATCACAATAAAATAAAATTGCTTTTATGAACAGGGATGTCCCTGTTTGTTCCTTCTGGAATGAAGAATTCTCCATATGTCAAACTGAAGTCCTAACCCATTAAGGATTCATTGAAAAAAATTAATTCCTAACAGTTCGTAAAAAGTTCCTAAATTAATTCCTAAAAGTTCAAGAATTAAGGGAAAAAAGGACACTAGCCTAAGGCACCAAATGTGGCAACTTTAACCTTGTCTAAGTGTGCCTAAACATTTTCTGATTGAAACTTCAGCCATATACTGTATTTTTCCAATAAATTCAGTAAACCTGGCCAGAATTTCTCATGAACCTACTTCCACCAACCTCAACATATTTTCTCAGGAATGCTAAAAATCTTTGGCTTTTAGTAAAAAAAAAAGTTTTCTTTCAATGGTTGCCCATAACATCATTACACAGCCAAACGATGTCACATTATATTAATAATATTGTTGTTATTAATATTGTTCTAGTCACAAGATTGGCTGAATCTGTTTCTAACACAGGAAGATAAAAGAGAAAATACTGTTAGTTATTTGGGGGGGGGGGGGTGAGAAGCCATAAGCATATCATAATGCAAATCAGATGTTACTTTGATTTTTCCATTGTTTAATAACCTGAGCATATAATATTAATAGTAATCTGGGTACCCAAAGGAGACAGCAAAGAATTAGTTTTTTGTTGAATTGAGTTTGAATATTAGTAGCTCGGGTTGGTAGTTAGGCTGTTAGTAGGCTGTTGGTAATTAGACCATTCGAGGAGACATTGTCAGTGTGTTTTGAAGTGTGCTCATCTGTCAGAACACAAGTCTTTAAAATCTTTTTATGAGATGCTAATTAGTCTCAATGTTATTTGTTTGGATATTTCTGAGTCATTGTCTAATTTCAGACTGTTTCATTGACTGGTTGTTGTTGCTTGGCTATAGTTAAGTACTGTTTGTTTGATGCAGATTAGAATTAGATATTTAGATTGTTATCTGAGTGCTTCTGAGTTCTGATCTGATTTTGGCTTGTTTGAAAATTTGAGTGGCTGGCTGTTGTTACTGAGATGTGGTCCAATTTCTTGTGAACCAATAGGTTATAATTTTGTTGCTGCATATTGTCAATCTTGTTGGAACTGGGAGATCAAATCTAATTAGGTTTTTGTTTCTCAACTGCCATCTTATGGCCATCCATATGTCTGCAGCTCAGATATAGCACATTTCTTCTTACACCTTTACAAAGTACTTTTCAGTTAAAATAGAAATGAACGCTTTTGATTGTCAAATGAAAATTGAAAATGCAACTTATTATTTCCCTTACCTTAGCTGCAAGGTACCTAGGAAACTGGGGAGGAAAGGGAAAGGGAATGGCTGCATGATTCACATAACTGCAGTGATTTGCTTAACAATTGTGGCAAAAACATTGTAAAATGGGATGTGCCTTGTTAGCAATGGAAATTCTGGTCTCAATTATGGGTGTAAGTCAAGGACTTCCTATACAGAGAACACAGCAGCACAAGCATAACTATATATCACTGCAATAATCAAATGAGTTCAAAATCATCTCCGAAAGAAATTGTGGAAAAGTTGTAAAGCATCTTGAGCGTGATGTTTCCCAAAGGAAAACAAGCCCTTCAAGTATTCTCCAAGGAAGAAAAACACATTTTGGCACAGATTTATTTTAAATAGTTTACATTTCAGAGGCAAGTATTATTTAATTTTGAAAGCACTTACCAAATCTAGATTCAGTTAGTGTAAAATAAACAAGAGGGTTTTGTTGTCATTGTTATTGTTGTGAAGGTTTTTGGGATATTGGGTTCCATTTTAAAAAAATCCCTTTTTTTCAGTATATAGCAAAAATAAGCAGACCTTGAGCCCTTGCTGAATTCTGAATTCTAATACAAACAAACCAAGATAGTATTTTAAACACACATGCACACAAACACATAGTGTTCCTTCATTTCCCTGCTATCAATCTTCCGTTCTGTTAAGAGTCTGGATTCCAGATTTATTACTTAAAAATATTTATTATTTTAAAAGAAAGTTTGCCACTACCTCCCCCCCCCCCCCAAAAAAAGGCCAGTCCATAAATGGTAATTTATTCCTGATATGTAGTAAATCAGTGGGACTTCATGGCCCATATGGGGTCTGTGGTTAAATAATTAATGGTAGATAACCAGCATGTTCTGTTTTTCTTTTATAGGGCTTCAGCAGTTTCAAAGCTGCTATTATCCAAAAGCCTTTTGATATTAAACTGGTGCATTGTTTATAATAATGATAACCCAAGATCCTTGTTGTGTTACAAGATATAAATGCTTACCTTAGTCATTCCTATAATTATGGGTAAGACTATCCGCAATTAACTTAAAATGATTATTTGATATATTTTCATTATTTTGCCTCAACATAATTAGACTTGTGAGATTTTGTTATTACAGACCCACTGAATAAAAATAGTTTTAGTCTTCCTATGGAGTTGATTTTCTTTTTTGGTCTACCTCATGGGGCTGACACTTGAAGACATGTTCAGCTGTACTTGGGCTACTACCACATCTAAAGGCGCCTTACTACAGCACATATGCAGCTATTGATGAGAAGGAGCATTACATTTAACCCTTGGTGTCACAGTAGTAAAGTGCAGTATTTCAGGAAAACTCTGCACACAGAGAGTTTTAGCCTGGTGTGACTCAAGGCTGAGTCACTTCCATCCTTCCGAAGTCAGTAAAATGAGGACCCAGATTGTTGGAGGGAACATGCAAATAATGCTTCTATATTGTAAATTGCCCAAAGATTTGTAAAACCCTATGGGTTAATATATAACCTAAATGATACTTATTGGTGACTGGGAGACTTTCATGGAATTTTGTTTAAAATAAAATGAAGTTGGGACTTTTAATAATTAGGCAGAATAAATTACAGAAAGAAAAGTAATAAAATATATTTATAATAGTGATTCCAAGCCACTTCTTTATTCTTTTTTCTTTTTCTTCTTTTTTCTGTTTTTACATCTTTTGCTTTCTCTTTGCTTTCTTTTTCTTTTTCTTCCTTTATATTAGATTGTGTTAGTTTTTAATCTTATTTAAATATTTCCATAAAGGTATATACTAAAAAAAATAAGAGGGAGCAATAGGTCAGTTTGTACATTTGCTGAGACATAATCAGCTCCCTTTGGAGACTTAGATGAGAAGAAACCCTCTAGATTTGGGTTTCTCAGCCTTGACAACTGTAAAATTCCTGGAAATAAAGTCCATGCATTCAGGGAGTTGAAGTTCACACACCATAGGGCTGTTAAGTTTGAGATAGTGCTTTAGATGTAAAGGGCGTGCAAATCAGCAGTATAAATGTGTAAATTGATAAATGATGTTACATATGCTTGGAGAAAATACCTAACACTGCATCAGTAAAAATAAGAATTATGATGTAAAGTTAAGAACACAATAGAACTTTCTAGAACATGGTTATGGCTATTTCCCTCTTTGTTTGTGAGGTACTTTTTGTGAGGAAAGAGAACTTTTGTGAGGAAAGAAAAAACTTAACTCCTGTTCATTTTTTGGGAGGAAATGCAACTTCATCATCATCCTGCTTCTCTGGAAAGCTCAGAATCATAATGGAACAAGACAAGGGTACAAAGAATCAAAAATAAATATTTTGTTGGTTGGTTGATTTATATTTTATATTTCTAAACCGCTCATCTCCTTACCTCAGAGAGAGGCTCCAGGTGATGTACCAAGTATTATAATCAATAAATACAATATATAAAATTACCATTAAAATTGAAGTAAGTTTAAAAAAATTAAAATTATAAACCAATGGTAATTAAACAATGATTTAATATATATATAATTATTATAATTATAACATTAGCCAAATATTTGCAGCCCAGATATTTGCCAATTTGGGACATAATTTCATTGAATCAGTTTTAAATAGAAATAAAGGGTTTCTTGGTGGATTTTGCCAAGGATTTAACTTCAATGTATATTCCTAGTCTTATTAAATATCTGGAAAAGCCATTAATCTATATGCCTTTGAAAATAATAATTACAACTATTACAATTTTATGACTATTGTTTGGTCTCTAGCAGTTCAACAATAATTATACCATGTTTTTAAACAAAACACTGATTACATTTGAACAACCATTTGTCTGAAATAGCAATAGCACTTAGACTTATATACCATTTCACAGTGCTTTACGGCCCTTTTTAAATAATCTGGGTCCTCATTTTACAGACCTCAGAAGAATGGAAGGCTGAGTCAACCTTGAGCCAGTCAGAATTGAACTGGATACCAAACTACAGGCAGGCAGCAGGCAGCAGAAGTAGCCTGCAGTACTGCCTTCTAACCACTGCACCACCATGGCTCAGTGGTATAGTCTGTTTTGCTTGAACAGAGGGTTGGACGAGAATAGAATAGTAATTTCTTCTCATTCATCTTTGGGAAACCCCATGGCAGTGGCTTGGCCACTCCTTTTTCCAAATCCTGCCACATTTTATTAGCAAGAAAGTAAGCCTTGTGGACTTTATATACACAATGTTAGAGGATAAAGGGAATTCCTGCTTTTCTTTTACAAAACAGTTTATGATAATTCTATTCTACTTTTTCAGCTTTGCACTCAATGACTCGCCTCAAAGAAATAAGTAGAAAGACCGATATTATGAAAAACACAGAGACTTAAGGTACACAGCTGTCATCTGACAAATGCTTTTCTTTTAGTGTTCTATTGATTTTAGATGAGGAGGAAGTGTGTGTGTGTGTGTGTGTGTGTGCGCGCGTGTGTTTCCCCCCAGAGAGCATTTGTTTCTTCAGGGAGTCAAAAATTAAGATTCCACAGTACTGCCTGTGTTAGAAATCTGGCATCTGTGGCTCTGGTTTTGCAATCGCTATCTGTTAAATAGAAAGGGATTAAATTATGGCATTTTTCCATGTGAAAGTACAGGGCAGGCTTCCTTTCATTTTTCTTTTCCTCAGGCTCTTGAGAAGATGGGGTAATTTACAGATTGCCCCAGAGAAACACTTCATATAATAATTCAGTGTTTAGTCTCTCTTATGCAGGTAAGCTTGGATACACATATGCTGAGAGATTTTTTTAAATCCAGTGATTCTAATATAACCTTTTAAGGAAAAAAAGGGTATGTAGCAATATATATTTTTTCCTAAAAAGGGAGAAAAAAGGGTTTGCTTTACCATCTTTCTACCACCAATCTTCAGAAGTAAAAAGCATTTCCAAAACAGGTGAATAATTCAGGCAGAATCTGTTTTTTTGAGCATCTACTATGTAACTTAGTTTTCTGAATCAAATTATGTTTTCTGACTTTGTGTGTCTGAATAATTTAGGCAATTGCAGGCCACAAGTCAAGGGAGATCTTTTATCCTCATTTTGAACCCCCATCCTTCAGCATTTCTAGGCTCTGCCACCAATGTTCAGTGTCAAAAATAGCTGGGTTTTTTTTTAGAGGTATCATTTTTATGTGTGGGTAAAGCAAGACTTAGGAAATGTTTTTAGCATGTTATCCCTGACATGCACAAACATCCTCCCTCAAAAAAAAGAGATGCACAATCCAGATCCCAACCAACCCGCTTTTTAGAGACCTCACCATATCATCACTGCACTTCTCTATAGCTCTCTGAAACTGGAAAGTGTTTTGTGATTATGAAAACCTGGTTACCTCTGGTTCTTTGCATGGACACATTCTATTTATGTCTCGTTGAGATAACCTATTAAGAGAATGGCTGGTTTTTCCAAAACCTACTGAATCACAGATTTCCCAAATCTTTTTAATTAAGTCTAGTTTCTTGAGGAAACTAAGCATTGATTGGCCACTTTCATGTTTCATATTCACTTCATTGATGCAAGCTCCAGAAAAGACATAAATTCAGCCCAATACTATTTTTATCATGAACAGTGAAGACTTTTGGTGAATCAGAGTCATGAGTCATCTATATAGGGATTAGGGTAGAGATTGGGAACACAAATTGGCTAATTACAGGTTTCAGCAGCATAATTATACAGTGAAGATGTGTGTATTCATAGCAAGGGTTAGATCATGTCCTCCCAGTCACTCAAGAGTGTGCTTCCATCTGCCTATCTAGTAGAAACTTTAAATAACACCAATCGCTTAAAAAATTTATAGAATGGTGGTTTAAATAAACAATAAACAGATAATCCAAACATTCAGATATTGTTTATTTTTTGAAAACAACAAACAAACAAAAACACATAGGGAGGGAGAGAGAGCACTGAACATCATAACACAATAATGTATTAATTATCTCCTCATACTGTAAAATGTGTGGGTTAATCTTCAAAATATTTTTATTTGTCAAAGATAAATATTTGTGCAATGGCTTTGCTGGTGTTAATCATTTTTATATCTTTGCTTTCTCTGGGAATCTTTTAAGGAGATATTGAGGTGCTTAAATTGCTATAAAGCATTTTTGGCACATCTGATACATGTTTTGAAGATGATCATCTGTTGCATTGTTTTTTTTGGGATATCTACAGATTATAAAGGTGAGGGGAAATGTTATCTGAAATATGACATGTATTCAGCAGGAAACTAAAGCTGCTGCTGCAATGAGATACAAATCTCTGTAAATATTTTCAATCCAAGGTGATTTTTTTAAAAATGGTCAGTCAACATGTCCAAACCCATAGAGAAAATATCAGGGACAATGAGAGATAAGATATTTCTATTCCATAGCAGGATTTACTTGGGCTATGGGTGGGACAATTCCCTAAGATTTTGCTCTTAGGTCTGTTTAATTTCTTTAATTTTCTTTAATCTTTTTCATTTCTTTTAGCTCATTTTTCATTCACGGTCCCAAAGCAACTAGGAAAAAGCCCATGTTACATAGGCCATTTTGACATCAATAGTTTTTTCGCCCCCTGTTTTTCACATATTGGAAAGTTGTTGCTGATTAGTGATGACTAATTTTATAAAAGAATGGTATGCAAAGAAGAACAACTCAATTGGTGGTCAAGCAGAATGACAATTAGGAAGAACAATCAGAACCAAAACAGTCCATTATAGCAGACAATACAGGCTACCAGATTACTTCATTGAAAACAGAATTCATTTAAGTAGTCAGCCTTATTATCCTATGTGGAAAAAAAAACGTTATTGAATTGTCATTTAAAACATGACAATGGAAATAAGGATATCAGATTTCTTTGATCCTAACTCTAGCAACAAGAATGTCCTTCTCTTAACCCAGCGCTATAAATTTATACAAATATAGTAGGTTAAAAAAAACAAGCATAGTTATGTAAATGTATGAGCAATAAGCATATATACACTTGAATAATATTTACATTAAATAAGTGCATATAGTATTGTAACTGGTAACTTTTATAACAATATATTATACTGTATCCTTTTTTTCTTCCATTTTCTTTTTTTTACTTTTTAAAGGCACTTTTAATGAGGAAGTTGAGAATACGCATATTTGAATTCCAATTTTCTTTGTGTTTTATTTTTTTCTGTTACTACTAAAGAAAGCTTTTAAAAATACTAATTAAAAAAAAAAACCTCCCACACTGCATATTTATTTGCCTGGCAAGACCAGAATAAACAAAAAAGCTTCTTTACCTGATCATAAGTTAATTTTATTTTATTTATTTATAAAATGTTTAGGCTACCCATTTCGCCTACAAGGTGTCTCTGAGTTTTGAAAGTCCAACAAACAAACTAAAAAGGTCCAAGCACAGCTAAACATTCAATGAGGGTAAGAAACTTCTAGCAGCTTGAACAGAATAAGAGAAGAAAATAACAGAAGGGACTTTGGAGGTCTTGTAGTCCATCCTCCTTGCTCAACCAGGAAACTCTATACCATTTCAGACAATAAGTTATCCAGCCTCTTCTTAAAAGCCACCAATGATGAAGCACTCACAACATATATATATATGATGAACACAATACAGAAGCCTGATGATGGCAGATGAGATTCTGCTGAAACGTTGCTACAACTTTAAAAGCACAACTACTATGACGTGGGAAAATACCCGAACCAAGCCGAATACCATACTTGTAAGTACCCGCGAAAACTTAAGAATATATATATATATATATATATATATATATATATATATATATATATATATATATATATATATATACCCTGTTTCTCCAACAGTAGGGCCTCCCCCAATAGGAAGTCCCTGCATGTTTTATAGGCATGAAATGAAATTAAGCCCCTCCCCCCAAATTAAGGCCTATATTAAAACATGCGAAATGGGGGGGGGAATGGTGGGGGGGCTTGCCATTAGGAAGTACTTTTGTTGCACACCTGGATATGGTGCTGCCTGCGTTGACCCTGATACGAAGTGCCCCACCAACGCCGAGGTCAACATCCAAGCTGTCACCGCCCGCCCGCCCGAAGATGCAAGGGGGGGGGAATTAAGTTAACCCCGAAAAGACAGCCTAGCCATTTTTTCGGGGCTCAAGAAAAAATAAGACCCGGCCTTATTATATGAGAAACACGGTATATATATATATATATATACACACATACATACATATACATATACATATACATATACATATACATATACATATACACATACACATATACATATACATATACATATACATACACATACACATACACACACACACACACACACACACACACACACACACACACACACACACACACACATATATATATATATATATATATATATATATATATATATATATATATATATTCTTAAGTTTTCGCGGGTACTTACATGTATGGCATTCAGCTTTGTTCGGGTATTTTCCCACGTCATTGTAGTTGTTCTTTTAAAGTTGTAGCAACGTTTCAGCAGAATCTCATCTGCCAGAAAAAACCATTCTGGCACAGCAATAGGCTGCCCCAAATTCAAATCTGAAACCACTGTAAAAGCCTGACTCACAGATGAACACTATACAGAAGCCTGATAATGGCAGATGAGATTCTGCTGAAACATTGCTACAACTTTAAAAGCACAACTACTATGACGTGGGAAAATACCC